GGCTTTGGGGGAAAAAAAAAAAGGAGGAGGATTGGCAATAGATGTTAGCTCAGAGCCAGTCTTCCTCAGCAAAAAGTGGAGGATTAGCATGGATGTTAGCTCAGGGCTGATCTTCCTCACAAAAAAATAAATAAATAAAAATTATTAAAAAAGATTGGCCAGTGAATGTGTTTTTAAATATTTTAATTTTATTTATTTATTCTCTCCCCCCCCCAAAGCCCCAGCAGATAGTTGCATGTCATAGTTGCACATCCTTCTAGTTGCTGTATGTGGGACACGGCCTCAGCATGGCCGGAGAAGCGGTACGTCGGTGCGCACCCGGGATCTGATCCCGGGCCGCCAGCAGCGGAGCACGCGCACTTAACTGCTAAGCCACCTAAATATTTTAAAGTAAAATAAAATGTTAAATCATATATCCTTGTCTATGATTCTATGCTATAGCTGACTTTCTCAATTATTGATCAACTCCTGGTCTGACAACGCTGAAGAGGAAAATTTCTACTATACTAATGTCAGAATCAGGCAAACATGTACTAAATATATGCTAAAACCCTTAAATCGTTAGGACACAAGGCTTTGTCTCGGTCTTTAGCCTTGAATAAAGAAATTGGAATTCACTAATAAACATAAAATTTCCAATAAATTTGAGAACAACTCATGAGAGTTCTATTTTCTTCTATATTCAGTTTTGTTTGTACTTAAGTTTTCTGCTCTTCATTAAGGTACATGATCTTGTGGTAAAAAGAGAAATATTCTGTTATTTTGGTTCAGAAATTTTCCCTGTCCTATATAACAATACTTATTTCAGTGCTTCTCAAACTCTTCACCTGAAATATCAATAGAGGAGTGAACTCATACTCCTAGAGCCAGGGAGATCTGGGGATATGGCCTAAGGGCCACAAATTAAAAGTTAAAGTCTCATATACAATCTTTCAAATGTATGTAAACTAGGCATTATATTCTATAATTTATCTGTATTTGTTTCAATATTAAAAAGTCATTTATTTTTCTTTAAATCATCCAGTAAAAACTTGATGGGCCCCATTTATTCTGTGGCTTCACAGACCTTTCTATACTACTGTGCACCCTGTAAGAGAAGCTTGGGCTCAATCAATGCAATACAATTTCAATTTCAACTTGTGTTGAACAGAAAGAGAAGTGTTGTAAGGGATTGGGCAAGGAAAGTGGAAAGTGTTGTAAGGGACTGGGCAATCTCATACACGAACCAACAAGGGCAGAGGGAAATCTAACAAATATCCAAGGAAAGGAGGCAAGAGGCATGTGGACAAAAATTAAATCTTGCACTAACCCTGCTGTCCACTCCTACTTAAGTCACATCCAATATCTATCAAGTTCTAAAATGGGCTGAGGACTGCCATTATTCCTTACAGGTGGGGCTGGGTCTTTTTCACTGTTGTCACTCTAGCACTTACCACAGTGCCTGGCACACAGTAGGCATTCTATGAATTATAAGGATAATATTGAAGCTAACTCTTATTGCCAGGCACTGTTTGAAGTACTTAAAATATATTAACTCATTTAATACTCATACCATCCCTATGTGAAACCCCTTAATATCCCATTTTACACAAGAGGAAACTGAGACCCGAAGATTTTAAGTAACTTGCCCAAAGTCACATGGCCAAAAAATAGCAGAGCTGGGATTCAAACCCAGCCACTTTAGCTCCAGGGTCTAAGCTCTAACCACTAGCTCTTGTAAATACCTATTCAATGAATGAATGAGTAAATAAATGATTTGTAAGAAATGAAAAGCAAATATTTTAAGCCAGAAGACTTTATCTCCTTACAGTGCAGTTTGTTGCTTCGGCTGTTGAGTGGTTCTGGTCCATTCACATCTTTGCTCTTTTCATTATCCTCAATGGGTCGGAAATGAGCCAAAGTTCTCATGAATCCACGGAAGTTTACCTGGTCCTCTCTGATTGGGAAACATCACAAACAGAACACCATGTCAATCAGGATGATTACTTCTTATGAATTCAATATATTGGCAACAGTTTTAGCTAGAGTAGCTTGAAAGCCCATTTAATGAGGCCTCTTTCCATATGCATGGTACTTTAGGGCTCATAAAATATCTTCATTGAAGCTTCACCCCCACCTTCTGAAGTAGGTATTATTATTCCCACTTTATAAAAGATTACAGACTTAGAGAGGTAACAGGACTTTCCGGGGTCAGAATCACCTATTGAATTTACTTATATCTCTTTACAAAGAGGATTTTGAGTAGCACCAGGGCTATGCTATCAGGCAAGCCAGGACTTGAACTCACTGCTTGCTTCCGACTCTGCAGCGAGCGGCAAGTTTGTCATTTCAACCCAGTGACTCCCCAACCACCTCCCATGTCTCCCCTGCAGTGACGTATACCTAGTGATATTTTAAGGTTAAGGCATATTATGGAAAAGCTGCTTTTAATACAAAGTTTATTTAGTCATAAAAGCGATAAATATATTTTTGGAAATTTGGAAACAAGAAAAATGCCACTCCCTGTTCTACCAATCAATTACAACCATTGTTAATATATTTTCTTCCAATAACTTTTCTATGCTTTTTGGATAACTGTGAACACACTGCATATGTAATTTTGTATCCTGATTTTTTAAACTTCTAAGCATGACTCCAATCAACAATAAACACTTTGAAACATTTTAAATGTCCGCCTAATAATTTTGTGGCTGTATCATGATTTTATTATTCCCTCATAATTGGACAGATTTTTTTCTCCCTTTTTTCATGATCACGATGTTCTGAAAGGCCTCTTTGTGTATAAAGCTTTTTTGGTACTTAAGATTAGAGAAAATCTTGTTATTGCAACACAGGCTAATCAGTAACCCTATAAGAAATAATTCTAAAACTTGAAAAAATGAAGAATGTTCTTTAACATAAAAAAGAACGTCCCATGTGACACAGTTATTTATCTAAGGTAGTCATGGAAGGAACAGGTTGCCTGGTTCCTGTGGCTACCTAAAAATAAATCCCAGTCTTTGTGTGCCCCATTGAATAGATGCAGTATGTGGGGTCTCTTTAGTGCCAGGCAGACACACAGATCAGAGACCTTCTAAAGGTAGAGTTCCAAGGCTAGCTCATTAGCCCACTATACTCAAAAGAATGACCTTTAGTTCTTCAAGGTAGCTAAACTGCTAATAGAGTAGTATCTCATAAAAAATGTGAGTAAGATCTGAGGAATCAAGTAATGCGGAATAAGATTTGAGTCATATGCCAAAACAAACAGGTTAATGAGTACATGTTACTGGCATAATGTCTCTGAGTAAAAGGGAACTAAAGATCAATGTTCCACTTTCAAACCTCATTCTTTAAAAACAAAAATTCCAGGGGCCGGCCCGGTGGCACAAGCAGTTAGGTGCGCGCACTCTGCTGCAGCGGCCCGGGGTTCGCAGGTTCAGATCCCGGGCGCGCACCGACGCACTGCTTGTTAGGCCATGCTGTGGCGGCGTCCCATATAAAGTAGAGGAAGATGGCCACGGATGTTAGCTCAGGGCCAATCTTCCTCAAGGAAAAAGGGGAGGATTGGCATCAGATGTTAGCTCAGGGCTAGTCCTCCTCACACACACAAAAAAATTCCATCTGTATAAGACTGGAGAAGAAATAAAACACCCAGAAGCCCAATATCTGCATCTGATTAGAGCAAGAAGCACAGGTGCAGCTTGCTAGAAGCTTAGCAGTGTAGCCCACTGAGGGCCTCGGCTTCTGTATGCACATCTGCCTAGTGTCCTTAGCAGCAGATCGGTGGACAGGATGGTGGGCGATACTGCAGCCACAACAAAGGTGGTGTGGCCTTATAAAACAGCTTTCCACAGGCTGCTTCTTCAAATAATCAATAGCGACTATGGAACTCTGAAAGAAAGAGTTGGCAAAATGACTCTACTGGGTTTACTTTTCATTGCAAAAGATTTGGATACAAAGCATAACTGTGAAAGTTATCTCTGGACAGGGTTCAGTCTTTTAGCCCTCTGCATGGGCTAAAAGAGGAAGTGGAAAAACAGAAGAATTCAGCACAAAAACCACACCTGAAACAAACAGGGCAGTTCAGGGAGAGAAAAAGGGGAAAATGAGGAAGGCTAGAAGATTAATCATGGTCAACATTAATCAAAAGAGAGCAGGTCTCAGTCTGATTCGATTCTTGTCTTCACATAAATGGGATAGTCTTCCTCCTCTGACTCTCATTCAACTTTACTGAGTGCCCAACTTCTCAACTTGCAAATTTCTTTGCTCTCAATGCACAGTCCTAAAATTTCCTCTCCAGGCACCTTATTTGATAGTGTCCTCACTGAAACTTGGTCTCATTCCTAAGAACTGGCAACCATATAACTTTTTAAAGTCCTTTGGGTCATACAGACAAGGCACAAGGAACTAGGAAGAGATTGTTAAAGAGATTACTTAAACAAGATCACGTGATAAGATTTATTCATGACAAAGGACCTAATCAAATCAATAAATATTTACTCAGTACTTTGAAGGCAGTGGTGTATTAAGGAGTGAATCATATCAAAAGCCTAGTTCTACATTAGACAAACTCAAATCTATCTGAGCAAGTATGTGTGTAGTGGGGGGAACTGTATCCTTAGTCAATGTCATGAAAGAAAAATAAAGGCTGTGGAAATGTTCCAGATTAAAGGAGGCTAAAGAGACATGACAACTGACCCAAATTGGATCTCATATTGGATGGGAAAAAAGTGCTATAAAGGAGATTATTGGATGAAATGACAAAATTGGTATATGAATAATATATTAGAATAAAATAGATAAGGGGGGAAATGGGTGAAGGAGGTCACAGGGTACAAATTTCCAGTTATAAGATGAATAAGTTCCGGGATGTAATATATAGCATTGTGACTACAGTTAACAATACTGTATTGTAATTTGAAAGTTGCTAAGGGAATAGATTATAAAAGTTCTCACCACAAAAAAAAAAAGTAACTATGTGAGGTGAAAAATGTGTTAACTAACCTTACTGTGGTAATCATTGTGCAATATATGCACACATAAAATCAGTACGTTGTACACCTTAAACTTAATGTTATAGGTCAATCATATCTCAACAAAGCTAGAAAAAAAGAATAAAATACCTAATAGTTTATAATACTATTATTACAGCATTTGATAAGTGCTGTAAGTGTAAATTACAACTAGATTTCAAAGACTTAATATGAAAAAATGTAAAGTATATTAATAATTTTTTTTTTTGGTGAGGAAGATTGGCCCTGAGCTAACATCTGTGCCAGTCTTCCTCTACTTTGTATGTGGGTAGCTGCCACAGCATGGCTTGATGAGTGGCGTGGGTCCACGCCGAGGATCCAAACCCGCGAACCCGGGCCGTGGAAGCAGAGCGCACCAAACTTAACCACTACGCCACAGGGCCAGCCCTGTTAATCATTTTTAAATATTGATTACATACTGAATGATAATATTTAGATATATTTGGTTAAATAAAATATATATTGCCAAAGTTAATTTAACTTTATTTTTTTTTACTTTTTTAATGTGGCTACTAGAAAATTTATAATTATATGTGTGGTTTGATTATACTTTTATCGGCTAGGACTGAGAGAGACAGAGAGCACACAAAAAATGAGGCAAAGTGTTAACAATATATAAGAATAGACACATCTGGGTAAAAGACATACAGATGTTCTTTGTACTATTTTCAATTTTTTGCAACTTTTCTGTAAATTTGAAATTGTTTCCAAATAAAAGTTTTTTTCTTTTTTTTGCTGAGGAAGATTCGCCCTGAGCTAACATCCATGCCAATCTTCCTTTATTTTGTATGTCACCACAGCATGGCTTGATCAGCAGTTATAGGTCTGTGCCTGGGATCCGAACCCACAAACCCTGGGCCACCAAAGCAGAGTGTGCGAACTTAACCACTACACCACTGGGCTGGCCCCCAAATAAAAGTTTTTAAAAAGTTTAGTTTTACCATCAAAAATAAACAGAGATTAAAGACAAAATTTTGAAGATGAGCTCATATACCTATTTGAAGTTTAAAACGGGGTGGAGGGTAGAACAGAAGAGATAATTCTAGATATGACCAAGTTAGGAATGCCTAATATAATCAGGAAGATCATGGCCTGATGACCCAACCAATATCATTATTTCAGATTAGCCTCGGAGAGGAAACCCAACAACTAAGAGGACTCACCCCTCTGGAAAGAAGGCATTGATGATCCGGTCCCCCAGTGGGTTGATGGCAAGTTCTGGAATCCGCTGGAAATCTTCCCGGCTGCCAAGAGAATTACCTTGAGTTAGAAACCATTGGCCTTTAGCATGAACTCCTTCAGTCAAGCAAGAGTACAACCTAGCAAAAATACGACCTCCTGGAATTTACTTCTGTGGCAAATTAAACTAAACAACTGGAAAGAATAGCACTTTAATAGCTGCCAAGTGTTTCCTACACCAACTCAGGAGTGGAAGAAGCCAGATTTGACCATGCCACATTCCAGTGAATTCAGCACACAGGTTACGTCAACAAACCAACCGACAAGCAAATACTAAGCCATCCCTGTAAATGATTCCTTGAACATTACCATTTTGTACTTAGTTATTAAGTTTGGAGAGTGAACAGCGAAGTATCAAACACCACCTAGCTTGAATACAGGAGCAAAAATTCACAGGGGCCTCCATACCCTTGGTAAGAAGATGTATAGCACCTATGAAATGTAAGGAATTCTTAGGCACTATTTACATCCAAGGAAAGAATAAAGTGTGACAACTAACTGAGTTCCATGCTTCCTTGCTCTGATTGTGGTTTGTTCTCCATTGCCTTCTACAGACTGGAGCTAGAGAAGTATTTAACCCTCGAACATAGCAAGAGCAGTCACCCTTTCACAACTTGGAAGTTATGTTGAAGTAAATATTATTAGTTACCATTCAGTTTACACATCAGGTGCCGCTCTAACTCTGTTTATATACATTATGTCATTTCTTCATGCCAACATTTCATCTATACCCTTTTAGAGCTGAGGAAATTGAAAGTCAGTGAGATACAGTAACTTGCCCAGTGCTACAAAGCTAGTAAGTGGCAGAACTGCGATTTAAATCTAAGTCTGTAAATCAAAGCACATCTTCTTTTTTCTAAAAAACCACATTTCTTCCCCATGTTAAAGTTTTTGAAAAAAAGGTGCTCTCCCAAAAAATGTTCAAGAAGTATTTTTTAAAAACTGCTTGAGGGGCCGGCCCGGTGGCCTAATGGTTAAGTTTGGTGCACTCTACTCCGGCAGCCTGGATTCGGTTCCTGGGGGCAGATCTACACCACTCGTCAGCCATGCTGTGGCAGCGACCCACATACAAAATAGAGGGAAACTGGCACAGATGTTAGCTCAGGGGGAACCTCCCTCAGCAAAAAAAAAAAACAAAAACTTCTTGGTTGATAGTCTGTGCCAAGAATATGAAGTTGCCTACAACATATCTGTGCTGTACTGTTCAAAAATATCAATGTCATGAAGGACAGAGAAAGGCAGAGGATTGTTCCAGATCAAAGGGGACTAAAGAAACATACAACTGAACTCAATGCATGATCCTAAACTAGAAAAAAAATTGCTATGAAGGACATTACTGAGGCAATAGGTAAAAATTGAATATGGACCATAGATAATATGGAATATTATACAATAGTACTATATCAAAATGCTAAATTTCTTGATTTTCACATGAGAATGTCCCTGTTATAGTAAATACACACTGAAGTTATGTGGCAAAATGTTAAAAACTGGTAAATCTGGGTATCAGGTACGTGAACGTTCTTTGTATTGTTCTTGTAACTCTTCTGTAAGTTTGAAATTATTTCCAGATAAAAAGTAAAAAAAAAAGAGAGAAAATATAAACTCAAAAAAATCTGATTCCTGCCTTCAAGATGTTTATTAACCTAAGAGATAAAACTTTTTCTTGCACGCCCTTCATACTAAATGCTAATGAAATGTTCCTATTTTACCCAGGAGCCTTCAACACTCTGTTCTTGTGGTTTAACATTTACACAGTGCTTAATTAATTCAACAAGTCTGTCTTCACCACATCTGGTGGTGATACAGGTAGAAACTGACCTAGGGGACTGACCACAAAGCTCTGGAATGATAACTCTGGATTCTAATCTCCCTTGATCACTTAGGGTAATAATTTTTATATCAACGAATGAACCAGAAGAAGCCATTCATAAGATAACTGGGTTGCTTAAGATGATAAAAGATAAAGGAAATTACTGAGGTCCTGATTATTTAATTCAACAAACATGTTCTAAGCTCTTATTATGTAATTTGCTCTATAATACAAAGTCCACATTATCACCAAAATGTAGCTCCTCTTCTTTGACAGAGGTTAAGGAACAATAACAACTCCCTTTTAAATGAAGATTAAGGCTGATTTGAATTGCATGGCCACATACCTCAGCTTAATGTCTAACAAACTTAAGTAATTTTAGCTGAGAAGGCACAGTTTAAATACCAGGTCTAGTATCAAGTGGTGAGCACACAACCTAGCCCGAATTCCATCAGTCTCAATAAGGGATCTAGTCTTGGACTTCCAACGTCAATAAGGACCTAAACCCTGTCCTTTGACACTTTTTTTTTTTTTTTTGGTGAGGAAGATCAGCCCTGAGCTAACATCTATTGCCAATCCTCCTTTTTTTTTTCCCCCTTTTTCTCCCCAAAGCCCCAGTAGATAGTTGTCTGTCATAGTTGCACATCCTTCTAGTTGCTGCATGTGGGACGCGGCCTCAGCACGGCCAGACAAGCGGTGCCTCGGTGCGCGCCTGGGATCTGAACCCGGGCCGCCAGCGCGGAGCACGCATACTTAACCGCTAAGCCACGGGGCCGGCCCCAGACACTTTTTAACTCTACTCTTAGAATTCAGATTGTATATAAAATGTGGTTCTATAAAACCAAGGGAATACTGTTGATAGTACCGAAATTAAAATGCAAGAGTATAAAAAATAGTTTGTACACTGTTAAACAATATACAGTTTACTATTATTATTAGTTGTTCTATAGTAGAATGGAGATCATCTGGGCAATTTCTCTAAAACTTAGCTTCTCAAATTTGTCCACCAACACAAACTGAATAGAGAAAAGTAAATACTGCAAGCAGCCCAACCACCACAAGTGTAAGATTTGTTCAAAATGTAGATTTGTGTGTACTTATAAAAAAGCATACCAATATTATATTCTACGTCATAGTATACCTAGGAAAATCTTCCTGGAAGATTTTTTAAGAAAAGATATTATTACTGGTAGTAGGCAAGTCCGTGAACAGAACTGTGTATAATGGCATTCTTTGTGGCCAAGAAATTCCCAATGAAAAACGGTTTTCTAGACATTCACAGGCACAGGGATGCTCTGAAAAACCAGAGTTTGAGAGATCTTTAGTAACCAGAGTGCCAGGCCTCTACACTGATCTTCATTGTGCAAGTCTCTTCTCTTACTTGAAGATTCATCCTCACTGTTAACTACTTATATTTCAAGGACCCAGGGTCAATGCTTATTAGATGACCTACACAGAATGAGGACATTAAAATTTGTTAACAGGACATACCTGTGGGAACATATTCAATGAAGAAAACAGTTTTCCATATTTAAGTAGTATAATAGAGATTATTTTATTTATTTAGAGATTATTATATTTATAATATAATTATTTATATTAACATTGAAGTGACAATAATTTCCATTATCTAAAGCATTTACATTTTTTTTTTTTTTTTGCTGAGGAAGATTCACCCTGAACTAACATCCATGCCAGTCTTCCTCTATTTTTTAGTATGTGGGCCGCCAGCACAGCATAGCTGCTAACAGAGCGGTGTAGGTCCACACCCAGGAACCAAACTTGGGCCACTGAAGAGGAGTGTGCTGAACTTAACCACTAGACCACTGAGGCTGGCCTTAAAGCATTTAATATTTTAAATTAAATTAATAAGATAATTTTGTTGTTGTTGTTGTTGTTGTTTTGATACTAGAATTCTTTTCATATAAAGTGTCAACAAGTGCTGAATCCAGTCTTTGCTAGTTGTTTTACTGTTTTAGGGCCAGACTGGCTTATTTACAAGGCTGCATCTGATTTTTGGTTGAGGATAGTGGGCACATACAAGTTTTCTTCCTTTTATTCTCTAACTCCCCCTGAAATGTCAGCAAAAATGTACACATGGGAATATATCCATGATATAACCAACCAGGGTGGGAAGAGTGTACTAGTAGACAAGGGATTTTGACAAACTCTGGAAGCCAGAAAATAGATGCAAATGTAATGACAAGAAATCAGAACAGATTTCAGCAAGGCACTACCCTCAGAATTGCCAGGTAAGGGAAGCAGCATTCAGGGTAATTAATTAAAGGAACTCTTAAAGAACAGCCTAGCTGTCCACTGCTGCCAGCACAATCCCAAGAATATAAAACCATTTGTCCTCAGGATAAAAATGGAGAGCTGCTATGGAAAGAAACTGAAAGATCTACCTGGGCAGGGCTTGAACCAAGTGTGGGGGTTGGCCTCCCCAGGAACATACTCCTTTTATCTGGGGAAGAGTGCTGCAAATCTGTCACCTTGCTCCCTGACCACATACCCTAAAGGGAGGTTTACCAACCTATTGGCCCTGCTCCAGGTATAGAGGGCTTGAAGTCAGCCCTTCTATCCGGGGAAAGACCTGTGAAGAAACCAACCATAAACAAACCCATGCCAGTTTTCTACAGTAATCCATGCAGGCCTTTTCATAAATATGAATGGACAACCAAGGCTCACCTGGTATTTTGGGAAAATTAATAGCACAAAAGAATCAAGATGAACAGAGATAATAATTCAAGGAAGAAAAGAGAATTCTGAAAGATTTTAATAAGTAATCCAATAGACATTTGATAAGTTTTTGTATCTGTAAAACAAAAATAAGCTACTATGATAGAGCAGAGATCAGAGAACAACAAAGGTTCTTGGTGGGGCCTGCCCAGTGACGCAGTGGTTAAGTGCGAGTGCTCCACTTCAGTGGCCCAGGGTTCGCCGGTTCGGATCCCGGGTGTGCACTGACATACCGCTTGTCAAGCCATGCTGTGGCGGCGTCCCATATAAAATGGAGGAAGATGGGCACAAATGTTGGCCCAGGGCCAATCTTCCTCAGCAAAAAGAGGAGGATTGGCATCAGATGTTAGCTCAGGGCTGATCTTCTTGACAAAAAATAAAAATAAAAAAAAATAAAGTCTTAAAAAAAAAAAAAGGCTCCTGGAAATTAAAAATATGATTGTGGGGCCAGCC